CATCAGGAGAGTTATTTCAGGAAAAAAAAAGGAAATTGTACACAGAAAATTAGGGAACCGCAGTGTTCATCTACACGGGGGAAATGGGGGAGGGGGGCAAGGACACAAGCAGACACAAACACGGAAGAAAAGTTAAGTTTTTAAAGAGAATCGTGATGCCAACGAGCAGAGGCGAGCAAGAAGCACCCTCGTTCCCAATGCCATTGCCAAGGCCAGCGGGCGCAGCCCCGCTAGGTACTACCCCCTCCGGCTACCCCCCGGCCACCCACACCCCCGCCACTAAAGGATTACTGCCTGGGGCGAACGGGAGGGGCGCGAGGACCCCCCACCCCCTTCCCCCTCGCACACCCGACACCTATTTTTATCCCCTGGTACTCACCTTTTTGTTGCACCACGAGATAGCACAGCGGAGAGCTCCAGATCCTCCTCCATGATAAGTTACCACTGCGGTGCGTGTCGGCGGCCGACCTCGCGACATGGGCGGCGGGGGCGCCACGTCCGCGGGTGCTGGGTGCTCAGATCTGGAACTCGACCTAAATCAAGTTTCAGTTTCTTTAGAAACGTTGGCAAGATGTGCCCAAAAAATAATATAAGGAAAAGACACGTCGTGCACACTCAAAGCTTGTGAACATTTTTATTCATAGCTTACTGAGTTCTGTGTATACGTGCTCCGCTTACGCATTTTTAATACGCCAGTATGAGCAAATTTGGAGCACGTACACAGAACTCAGTAAGCTATGAATAAAAATGTCCATAGGCTTTTAGGGTGTGGTGCTCACTGTTGAAAATCATTGTCACCCGATGACAAACTATACGTGATGACGGTCCTGTTTTCAAACAAAAGTGTTGTCTTCATTTAAACCGTCTTGAAACTTGATATTTTGCCTACTTTGGCCCAAAATAGAAACTACTAGATATTGCGGTCATGTTTCTCGGCCGGCTGTGACGAGAAACCTGCGACCGCGGCCCACCGAAAGTGACGTATAACTTTGAGCACGAGGCGCATATGGTTCCAGGAGTCAAACAGGCGGGTTTGCCTACTGACCTTGGCCATGGCGGCTGTGGAGTAGGCAAACCCGATCGCACCGCGGCAACCGAGGTTCACGTTGGACTGATGAAGAGAACTCTGACAAAAATACTAGAGAGTATATTTATTGACAGTTGCAGGCAATTTAGTAATCCGAGCCCGTTTTACCGACCATGACCATCAGTCCCAGGTTTCAGGATCCCTCACTAGAGGAAAAAATAGAAGCTACTCTACTCGAAAACCCCCAATTTATTCAACATGCTATTAACAATGAGAAGACAGTACGGACAACCAGAAGGAAAACTACAAGAATCAGACAGAGTTGCATTGTACATGGACCCACGACCAGATGCCCGTATGGATATCACGGTCAGCAACATGTTCCGTTGGGGAGGGACAATTGGCAGGATCATGGGAGAACACGACAAGGCTTCCGTCAAGACCCTCTTCATTCCAGCTCACTTGTTGGTGGCAGCCCAGTGCACACGCCGCGCAGTCTGGACGTTCACAGGAACGTGGCTCGTGCAGGTGGATGTGCAGCGCGGGGTTGGCCGCGAGGGCCGCCTTGACCGCGTCCCCGTGCAGCCAGGCGTGGCCGCAAACCTCCCCGCCGTCGGGGCCGACCTGGTCATCCGAGAGCTCGAGCCTCCGCAGGGCCGGGGCCGAGGTGGGCGTGATGCCTAGCAGGAGATCGTTGTCCAACAGCAGGCAGACGCCCATGACGTCCTCTACGAGCAGGCCCCGCAAGTCGGGCAGGCGGGGCAGGACGCCGAGCAGGAGCTGCACATCGGGGAGGCCACCGACGTTCAGCTGCATCAGGGGCCGCCTGCGCGAGGGCAGGGCGTCCACGAGCTTCTCGCAGAGCCGACGGCGCCGTTGGATACTGGAGAAGTTTATGGAGACGGCGCGAAGCTGGTCGGACCTGCGGAGAAACCGCACGGCCCCGTCCATGAGAGGTTCGTAGGAGGCTATGTCCTCCAAGTAGAGCTCCATGTGCGTGAGCGTCTTGCAGGCTGCCAGGGCCTCCAGCCTGGGGAGCATGTCGCAGCTCAACCACCCTAGATTGGGCATGCTGGCCAGCAGCTCAACCTTGTCCCACTGGTTATGGCCGCCTCCGAGTTTAACCTCCTCCAGGGTGGCGGCGTGTCCGGCCAGGACCGCGCTCACGAACGGCTCGGACGCCGCATTGAGCGAGCATCGGAAAATCTTCAAAGACGATTCGGACGGCACACGCGCATACTGCATGCGACGGGTCGTCGAGACCTTGAAGTGCCTCATGTCGAGGGACTCCAGGCGAGGAGCCGCCGCCAACGTCTTCAACAGCGGGTCGGCGCCGACCTGCGCGCCGTCGCCGTCGGCGATCACCGTCACGTGCCGGAGGCGGCCGAGCGCCTCCTGGTTGCGCACCGCCAGGGCGTAGACCGCGGGGTGAACCCCCGGCTCCACGCCGATGACCAGTTTCTCCGCGGCACACCTGGTCGTCTCGAACCCGGAGAGGTGCTGCATGCGGCTGACACTTATCACGGCCAGGCAGGGCGCTAAGCGTAGCACCGCGCACACGCAGGGCTTGTCGCCGACAACGCGGCGGCGGCGCCAGACGTCCCGGTGCAGGGCCAGGGTCCCGAGCCTCCTGCACACGAGGCGGCAGGTGAGGACGTCGTCAACAGACAGCCGCCGCAGCACCTCCACCACCACGTCGTCCGGGAGCTGCTCCACGCTCAGCGGGGACATGGTCGCGGTCGCAGAGTGTGACAAAGGCGAACGCTGAAAACACAACAGCAGTTTCGCGACTGGAAATTTCCCTATTTGGACTGGGGATTGGACTATAAATTTTAACAGAAACGCGCTACGCGCTGCCACTGGACCGCTGGATGGGGTAGGGTTTATTTTAAGTATGCTACTCCCTCGTTCTCACCACCCTTCGCACGTCGTCCGCTGACGTCTACTTTCCTATCTTCTTCGGGTAAAATCATGGCTAGTGAAGTTTTCTACCTGTTTTGGTGGGCAGGTTACAGACACATTTTCCATGAGAAATGGCATGTAAAGTTACGATTTTACTGGTTAAAAACTGTTTTTTCCCAGGGCACTGTAAGAGGATTCTCGCTCCTCTACGACACAGCCGGCACGGACCGCCCCCGCAGCAGTCCCACAGTGTTATCAGAGCGAAGAAAGCGGGAGGTACCGGGCAGGATGCACAGAACAACGACCCCTTTGCTTTCCTTTCTTGTCGCTTTCTTCCATTTTCTTGCTGGGCCCTCACATTTCGCGTTCACGCCGCGCCAGCACGCACTCACTAGGCCATCTGTACTCTATCTCTCTCGCCCAATCCTGGAAAGGCCGAGTTGAGAGTACCTTGCTGCAGAGAGGATATCCACAACAATATGCTGGCGGCGCTGGCCGTTAAGGTCGCCACCTCAACTCATGCTGTATCCGCTCCTCCTGTTTTGTTATGTTTTTCTCCCCCAAGTACATGAGCAATTTCCCCACTGGACGGCGCGTAACATGTTAGGACGGAGATGAACAAAAGAGAGGAAAGATAGGCGGGAGGGGGGGGGGGGGGGGCAGCAGGTGCTGCGGGTCGTGCCCTCGTAAAGAAACGAGTGTATACATGCTATAGCATTTTATATTACTCCATTCTTGATAGGGTACTCAAAGGGGCGCTTCTCGCGGGGCGAGAACCGGGCCTGAAGCTTGCACAAGAGGGGGGAAGGAGAGTATTGCAAAGTAACGCACGCAAGAGTCGTGGAGCGTGCCAGGATTTTCTCCGACGTTTAAGAAGGAGCAGCAGCGAGCGCAGAGCGCGCAGAGGCACGGGAGATTGGGGAAGGAGGGAGGGGGGAGAGGAAGAAACAGAAGCGGAGAGAGCGAGTGAATCGTAGCGGATCGCAGGGAGAAAAGGTACGAAGGTGGGAAAGAAAAAACTCAAGGGCCCACTCTGTGCTATTTGGAAAGTGAAGGGGGTCTTTTCCCTTTGGTAGAGACATTCTTAGGGAATGTCTAACGGCGGCTCGACCAGTACGTCCTCCATCCACCGTTCCAGAACGGCCGTGTTCAGCGGAAGCCAGCTCACGAGCGCCTGGTGGGTAGGCAACATCTTGCCTGCAATGCATCCGTGCGAAGCGGGGTAGCCCACCCCAAACTTCGCAGGCGCCGAGCTACCCACGTAATCAGTCCAATGAATTTGAGAAAGACGAACGTACTTTCTGAGGATCGCGTTGCTGACTGGGGGTATGTCGGGGGTAGTGGGGGTTGTATTCAGGGGTCGTAAGTAGGGTACTCCAGGAGAAAGATTTGTAAGAGAGGGGTTGTAAGAATTCTGGGTACTGTCGAGGACTGTCAAGGGGGGTGTAAGAGGCTGTGGGGGTTGTAACTGGGAGAGGGGAGGAGGGCCGTGCTATGGGAGATGAAGGGGGTTGCAGAGGTTGTGTTTGGGTTCCAGTGAGAGTTTCTAGAGAGGCATTTAGGGGTATAGATGGTGGAGTGCCGTGTGCCGAGGCCCAGGGAAGCTCGATGCCAACACCTCCTATTATTGACGCTCCCCGGGCGCTTCTGCTGAAGGTAAAATATTCATTTCGAGCTGGTGAGGGTCGAGGGGCAAACCCGGCCCGGCCTGGCCAGCGCGCCCACACAATTCACCCCCCCTTTCGCATACCCCATCCAGCCATGAGGACCGCGTCCGAAGCCTCCCCCCCCCCCTTTTACACCCCCTTCCTCCGACACCGGGTGAAGAAGGCAGGAAAGGGCCACCTTCGAAAAGAGCACAGTCTTTACGGATTCTTCTCACGTGCTGATATGAATGGTGTGTGCGGTGGGATGCTCCGGATGCTATAACGCCCAGCCGTGTTCGTGTTAAAAGGGATCGCACGCTTCCTTCACACCTCTCTGACACAACTCTGGCAAGACTCCTCCAATGCACCTCTGCCACCAGCATATTCAAGATTGATGGAAGCCAGTTCATTCTACTCCACCTTCCCGCTTCATTAATAAATTTTTAAAGAAACTTTGCAGTGGTTTACCTGTCCTCTCTAGTGTTATTTATTTTTGGTTTTTGGCACTGCTTTGTGGTGTGGAGCAGCATTTTACATACTCTTTAATTAGATTAGCATGCATCCAATGCCCTCTCTGAACCACAATTTCGATTACAAACTAAATATAATGAGGGCCTGTTTCATTCATCCCAGGGCTTTTACATACAATAAATTTCTACATTTGGTCTTAAACAATAGAAAGACCCTTAGCTATCAATACCTTAGCTAGAAAGTCACTCCCTAAACAACAGAACAAAATAAAAACAAAGGAGCTCACTTACCTATCGAAGTCAATCCAGGAGGCCAATACAATTAGACCGCTTTACAAACTAGAAGTCAGAAAACAGAATTCATTACTAAAACTTTTAGACAATACAGAAAATTTTTAAAGTAGATTTTTGCATACTTGTCAATGAAAGCGTGGTTCTTTCATATGATACGCTCAACAACTACTTATCACATTGGTGACAGACAATTCTTTATGACTGGCTATATCATACTACGCAGGTTCACTGTGCGTAATTTACTACCTGAATAATTTATGATAGCAATTAGGATGTCTATCTTGAATTACTTCAGAATGTGATTCTTTAATAAACTTGATCGAATACTTATTATGTGTGTCACTGACGAAGGAGAACAACTTAAATTAATGTTTTTAAATGTTTCTAGGAGCAAATTCACACACAGCCTCCGTTCCGACATGTTCACCATAGACAACTTTTCAATTATTATTTTCCAAAATAAGCAGGACCTGAAAGTACGCATAAGGAATCATTATTAAAACTTACCGCTGTTTCGATAACAATCAGATTGAAGAGAACGGCTATCAAAACGCACGAGTTCGAACGGCTAGCTTTTCAAATCAAACCTAGACTGGAGCAAGCAGACGACAAACAAAAGCACAGTAAGGGTATGAAAAGTTCAGCGATCGATTGCGGATTAATAGAAAATTTTATTGTGGTCAGAGGTTTTTTACGCATTTGTATCAACTTTTTTTGTTAAGCCGAATTCAACTTAATTCAAAAACCTACTACTGACAAGGTTTCTGAAAAAGTATGCTACAGAAAAGATTATGTTTTGAAGGTTGCGTTGGTCAAACTGTTTCGATGTTGATAGTCGCCTGTTTTCCACTAGCGGTATTTATGTTCGTCGGCTTGTTGTGTGTCTAGTGTTAGTGTCACCTCTGCCACGCTTTTTAAGCTTAATTTTCACTGATAGTCAAATCCACTCCGTCTGTTGTCCTACATTGAAAATGAATGAAATTCCTGCAATGTTTGGGTTGATCGTCTCTGGTAGAATCGTAAGTATAGAAGTGGGCACCTAGTTTGAGGTTATCAGAATTTCGTTCTATCTTGTTTATTTAATAGTGACATCTCAATGTACCAATTTCTACGTAAAAGTATTTTGTTCCTAGCACAGCCCGTGTGATTTTCTCTGAATAGGTTATTGTTTCATCTAACCCAGATATCCCTATGTTTGCAAATTATCTGTATTTCCTGGTTGTTCTAGAACCTTCTTTCTCACTTTGGTGACAATGTCAAGCCAGAAATTTAAAGAACTAAGACTTAATTCTTGTACAATATTTTGACCTAGAGCTGTTGCTTTTGCTCTTCTATCTGTCTGTTTAATTTAAAGGATTTCTAGTAACTTGACAATATTTTTGCCATTAGGTGCAAACGGATTTTCAGCCTCTTACACCAACAAACTTAGTATCAACAATTCCTGATGCTGAAAATATAAATCATGTAGTTGTATTTCTCACTGGTTTAACTCCTTTTCCCATGGATATGGGAGGACTAGGTAAGTTGTGTACATTACCAGTGGGCTACAGCATTAATACTTGTTTTGAGCTTTATTTGCACTTCTGATTCTGTTTCAGTCTTCTTTGGTTGGCCTGATGAAACTACGGGCAGTAGCAATTGGCAGCTATTAGGATACATATCAAATGACAAGCCATCAGCTATATTTAAGGTGTCTAATTTAAAGAAAACCTCTTCGCTTGGAGCAGGATGTCAGAACCCTTTTGCTCTTCATGTAAGTGTTATTACGTTTTTTTAAATCTATACCGCTTGATAAATCTAAATACCGTAGTATTATTATAATTAATATTAATCCACTTTTGTTTCCCTGCAGATATCAAAAAATGCCCAGATTGGGATTTCAGTAGAACCATTAACATCTGTTCAGCAGCAAGTAAGTCAGATTGCCTCCACTCCGGATGGATCAACAGCCACTAACTTCCGTGACTTCTGCACCAAAATGTTGGAGAATTTTATGAACTATGCTAGTAGTTTTTCTCAATCTCAAACTCAAATGGTTTCAAATCCCTCAGAACAGTATGTGCCCCTATCCACTCTTCAGTCTTGGTACAATAACTTCAATCGCCGCCTAGAAAAAAATCCTTACTTTTGGAGAACATAAATTGATATTATTCTTGATAGATATATACATTATATTTATTGATGAAATGTGATTACATATATAGAAATGATGATTACATTTCTCTACTGTTTGTATTACCGTACTATTTTACCAAGTTTATGCAATGTACTTCTTGCCAAGTAATAGTGTCTTTCTACGATTTTTGGTTTGCTTAGTACATTGTAACAGTAATATATAATTCTTTAATGATGTTTTTCTTGTAACAATCATCAGTTTTACTTCATAATTATTGAAGTTTAAAATTTGCACCACATGTCAAAAGCACTCATTGTAATGATCACCACAAATCTCATTTCATATTTCCATCATTTTTTCTCTCAATTTATTTCTTGTGCTACATGTTTTTTATTCAGTAGGATCTGGATTGTCATGGTCTCAGCTGTATCCGAATCTTGAAAACCTCAAATCATGAGTGCAGTGGTTCGCATGAATGCATTTTAAAGTTCCATGTGCCTTTTCAATTCTATGGACGATACTAACTCAAAGATGTACTCTGACTTATACAAAATGCTTTTATTTTTCTAACTTAATTTTCTAAACCCACATGATATCCCAAAAAATAATAATAAATTATTTTTTTCTAGTCCATTTGTGATTTTTGAACTAAAGCAGCCGGCTCTGATGAGTGGCAGCACTGTGCACCCCTGCTTTTCCCTACAGGTCTGCCACCCCTTGGCGCCTACTCACTTCTGGTGGTGGTGGGGTGGGAAGGTGAGCATCGCAGGGGGTGCGAGGCAAGGGCAAGGGGGGGAGGGGGGGGGCTTCGATCCTGGCTTTGAGGCTGGCGGCTCCCCCACCCCGTGGGTGCCGAGCGTCGCAGTGGCGGTGCAGGCGAGGGTGGGAGGCGCGCTGGAGAGAGGGAGAGCGAGTGAGAGGGGCGGCGCGAGCGGCCCGGCGAGCGACAGAGAGAGGCGGAGAGCGCGGCCGCCGGCCGGGGGTATCGCGGGAGGGCGGCACAGCCGTGGGCACAGCGCGGCGTAGAGTCAGCGCGCGGCCGGCAGCCCCGACGCGAGCACCGCCAGGCCCGCCCCGTCCCCAGGCACCGCGTCCCGCCAGCGCAGCCGGGCGTCGTCGCCACGCGCCGAGCCGCACCGGGAGGGAGAGCCGCGGCAGGCCAAGGCGCGCCGGCCGGGCCGAGGAGGAGGCCCGCGAGCACGCGAGGCGGAGGGAGGAAGGCCCCGCCCCGCGGCGGACTGGACGGCGGGGACCTCGCTGCTGCCGGGGCCCGGGCCGACCTGACGCAGCCGCGGCGACACCACAGGTAAGTGTCGCGGATGTAAACAAACACGCGCCGCGCCGCAGTGCGGGGCTCCTGCAGGGGGGGGGCGGCCACGCCGAGCCGGAGCCGGACGGGCTCAGCCGGTCTCTCGCCGCCGGCCCTGATTGTTCGTTTAGGATTACCGGGCGTGGTGGTGGGGGCTGGTTAATAATGCCAGAGCTCGTGTATACGACGCCTGTCAACTTCTCTGTTCGCAGAGGAGAGCAAGAGCGGCCCCAAAATAATAGACCCGGGCCGTGCTCGCCGACATTCGAGCCCAACAACAGCCGAGCCCCGGCCCCCGCCGCCGGCCCCGGGGCTGGCTACACTCCGGCCCGCAAATGCCCCCGGGACACGGCATAAAGCATCGACCGATTGAGCGCGCGCGCCCAAACGGCTGCGGCCGGATTGGCACGAGAGATAATTTCTATCTCTATGGTCGGCGGTCCGCTCGCTGCGGACAATTCTATCCGTTTGCCGCAACGTACAAGCGGTACCCACCAGCACCCTCCCCCCGCCCTGCACCTCCCCCTGCCGCGCCGGCGCCGGGGATTGGCAATGCGGATAATTCTATCCGCGCGCTGCGCTGTCTCACGCGACGTTGCCCACCCATGGCCAACCCCTCTATCCGATCGCCACCCCCTCACCCCCCTCGCCCCGACCGCTCTCTTTTCAATCCTCGCGTTGGGCTCCCCCCGCGCCATTCACTGTACTTCCGTGCGCCATTCACTGTACTTCCGTCCAGAGGGAGGAAGTGATCGTCGCGAAGCTATAGCCGGAGCGCTTGCAGCAGCCAAGAGCTCTCGCTCTGGTCGCGCGCCCGCTATCGCGCCCATCGCCGCCTCGTCGCCGCCGTCCCCCCGCCCGAGCACGCCGTTGCCGTGCGTACGGCGGGTGTGCTGGATTTGGCCCCGCATCCTCGTAGTACTTTACACCGAACGTCACGCGGACGGCCGGACTTATGACTGTACCTTCACTATGGCGCCCCGGGACGAGTATATAGGCAACCCGAAGACACGCGTGCATTGCAGTACAGTATTACTCGAAAGGACGGGGCCCATGGTGCTTCCTGTATCTGCTCGCGCTGTCGTCGCTGAGTTGTTCTCCGCCCTCCCCGTCTCCGCCGCCGCTGTTCTATCCGCAGGGCCGCCGGGCCGGGCCGCGCTGGGCGCTGCTGCAGTCTGGGTTCTACAAGATTACTCTGGATTACAGACAAGGCGAGCCTCGCTGTTATTGCATTAGGAGTGGAGTCGGTCGGACAGCCCCGGCACCCGCCCGCCCCGGCCTTGGCGGAAAGGGACGCGGACGTTTGAGTTTGAGCGCGCTGCTGCTCACGGGCGAGCGGGCGGAGGCCGTAAGCGGGGAGGGAGGAGGGGGGGGGGGTCATCACCGACCGCCCCGCGCCGCCGCACCTGTAAGCGCTCCGCGACACCTCGTTGGGCCCAGGGCCTCTATAGCCCTTTTCAGGCCCGCCGGGTCCTCTCCAGACGCGCTCCGCGCCGCGCGGGGTCCTCTCCGCGGGTCCTCTCTCTCTGGCCCGGCCCGGCTCTGCCCGGCTCGCGGCCCGCGGGGCGCTTTATGGCCTTTGTGGACGCGTCTTTTATTGCCCACTTTGAAGTGAGGCATGGGAGGAGAGGAGGGCCCCTCTCTCTGTACTCGGATGATTTCACCACTCGGCGGGCTATCCCCCCCGTTTAGAGCCTCATCATCACGGATATCAGCGCGGCGTCCGATATGCCTGCCGGGAAAGTAGCAGTACCTAGTGTTAGTGTTATATGCCCCGTGCGTGCTGCTGCCTGTGTGCTGCCTACTGCAGAGAGAGATTGGGGGAGGGGGCTGCAAGGGTCAAACAGCCGGGCCGGCCCGAAATGCGCTCAAAGATGTGTGTGTGTGTGTGTGTATGTGTGTGTGTGTGTCGGTGCGTGTGTGCGTGTGTGTGTGTGTAAGAGCGGGGTGAATTCAGAGTGAGCCGTAGATAGCAGCTTCGCGGTTGGGTGGCCCACCTCGACGCGAGCCATCAACACTCGATAGTGT